TTAAAGGATCTAAAGAGAAGTAAACAACTAAAAATTTGCTTTGAGGCACTTATGATCTCAATCTCCTTTACTTAAGACAAAGATGGGTTCGATGTGGCAGGCTCTCTATAAATCTTCATTGAAATGAATCACGAATGAACCGAGTGAGTCCTGGTGGAATGGGTCTGGGGTCAGAAAGATCTATGTGTGACTCATGGCTTGTCTGCTGCTAGATTTATAGCTTTCTGTGCTTTAGTGTCCTTACATGTAAAATAATGCTAATTAGACTTTCCTCAGAGAATTTTCTCAGAGTAATGCTCAGAGTATATAATATATGCTGCATAAAGGGTAGCTGTTATTATTGAATTGCAGTGGAGTGGTGTTATTCTAATCTACTTTTAGACTATCACAGCACTGGTGGGGGTGGGGGTGTTTATGCTGGGTAATCATTTAACCCTATTTTTACTAAGCTATGGATGAGATTGGCAGGTGTGAATCACAGAGGATGCTGGGAAGTGGGGGATAAGGAAATAAAAGAGCATAGGAAAGAGGGGAAAGATGAGAAAGTGAAGTGAGGGTGAAGTGTTACAACACGTCATCAACAATGGCCTCAAAAGCCACTGTCATGTGACTTTGCCCTTGACTCAAGATAGTTGGGTGGTTACCCTTTTTTATTTTTTAAAGAATTTCAAGGCTTTAATTTTTACTTCATTAATGTTCAAGTCATTGTCTAGTCTTTAGCTGGACCCTTTAATACATGGTATTTTCAAGTCTGACCATCCATCCATCCATCATCCATCATCCATATTTTCCCATTCATTCATTTTTTAAGCTACATAATCACAGGTATTCCTATTATGTGCTAGGCATTGTACTAGGCTTTTTTTTTTTTTTTTTTTGATGGGGTTTGGGGGTTAGATTTCTTCCTCTTTTTTTGCTGGAAATTTGATTTATTTTGCTGTTTTTGTTACATTAAAAAAATCTCCTGAGTTAAAAATAATCACAATATCTGGGAAATTAAAAACAACAACAGATGAACTATTGCAAATCTGATAAACCAATTAGTCAAATATGGAAAGTGAAAAACATGCTTGAATGCTTTTGACTCATATAATTGCTTCAGAATAATTTCTTAAGTGTTTCTAGGCAACAGCAAATTTAAGAAGAAGAAACAAATGGTGGGTTTCTCTCTCTCTCCCTCTCTCTTTTTTTGTGTGCCTTTCCCCCCTTTCTCTTCTCTCTCTCACATTGTCACAAGAGCAGCTTGTGCCTCTCCCACAATATGATGTTAGATATGGCTTGTTGGGTCAGAATGTGACATTTTTCATGCAGCATTCCTCACTGTGTTGGATGAGACATCAGTTTCATTAAGGTACATTTGGCCTGCACAGGTAGATGAGAGCATTAGGTAGGGGGTTGAATTTGGATAGAAATCACAGCGAGCTGAACTTTGATAAACTATAACCAGCATCAACATCATTTAGCCTTTATATTTCTCCATCGATCCTTTGGGTTCTGTTTTTGAAATTGAATCTTGCCTGCTATTTTTTGAGTTAACAGAGTAGATTACTGCTTTATATGATCTTGAGCAGAGTGCATTTCCTAATATTGCATCTCCATTTGTAGTGGCACTTCCCTTATGTGGGATGGTGGCAGCTGCAGTAATGACCCGCTCCTCAGATTTTCTCATGACATACAATCACACAGAAATCCAATCTTTCCTGCATCTTCATATTAGTACCTTATGGGGCAGGCAGTGTCTACCATTTGGAGACAAATTAAAGCTCATTAAAGAAAGGCAGAGGGTCAGAAGGGTACTTTGGAATATTAAAAAAAAATCCTTACTAGAGAACATTTAATCATAAGTAGATAATCCTTCTCAAAGGGAGGCAGTGCATTTACATCATTCTCCCTGGCAGTTAACCTTTTGCATTTTATGCTTATGACATTTCTGTCAGGCACTCTGTGTGCTCCAATTAAAGTCAGAGGTCTTTGGACATAGTTCAAAAAGTAGCAAGCCTCTGGAGGGCAACTTGATGCAAGGCATTTTGGCAGAGGGAGGACAGCTGGGAAGCCACATAGGAAAGAGGAATCTAGAATGTGAACGACACAGCTCCTTTGGATGCTTCTGAGGGTGTTTGGAGGGGGGGCTCATTATGGGTGTTGGCTATTGGATGGAGGAAAGCAACAGACGTGACAAAACAGGAATTCTAAGCCAGCCTATAAATTTGTACACATGGGTGTCTGGACTGAGAGGTCGGTGCTGGATTTGCACCTGTGCCTACAATCAGGTAGTAAATGGTTCAGTGGTCACAGTAAGAACAAGGCTCATTTGGGAGGCAAATTGAAACTCTATTTAAGCAAAGCGATTCAGAAGGAGATGTTCAGTATCATTTTACTCCTGGGAACATTTCCTCCTAAGGCACAGGCAAAATACCCACTAATATTGTTCCAAAGCTAAGAATGTGACTCAGAGACAAAAACCATGGAAACCTACTTATTTTCTGAAACGTTGCTGTTCTGAAAGAAAAGATGAGAGGATGAATAAGCAGACATGTTTTACTTAAAGGCTATGTGTGAGTCAGGGAAGCTTTGAGTTTTTAATATGGCAGAGAGTCATATGAGTATCTATGCATATAAGAGAGTGAAATCATTACATGGGTTGGAAATTAAAAGTGCTGTAAAAGGGTAGCATTTATAGGATTTAACTTTTATAAAAATTTTCTACAGGATCTGAGGCATAATTTATTTTTATGATTAAGACATTTAATTAGATTTTAAATCCTGAGTCCTAATTTTTTAGCTGTATGCGATGGGGCAAGTTAGCATCTACAAATGTCATTTTTCTCACCTATTAAGTGTTAATCTACCTCATAGCATGGTTGTGAGAATTCAGTGAGATAATCTATATGAAATGTTGAACACAGTGCCTGGTCTATAACACATGTTCTGTAAAAATTAACCAGTATTGTGAGTGTTTTAGTCTTCAAGTCATAAAGAAAACCCATCCATTATTTCCAAATGGAAAGAATTCTAATTGCGTGGTAATCTCAGTTTACTCAAAGGAAAAGATTCTTTGTACTGGCATAAAGAAATGAGACATCTTGGCCAAGAGATAAAAATCCCCAGATAAAATTCCAGGCAGTGTCCTTCTTCTAATTATTTTTGACTCCTAATAAGGACTAGGGTCTAATATTTTTTGAACACCTACCATGTGTCAGGTACTCTCCAAGCTGATCACTCATGAAGTCCTGTGAAGTCACTATAATTGTCCCACTATTACAGACAAGGAAACTGAGGCCCAAAGAGATGAGAGAACATGTCAGGCTTATAGGTACTGTGGTTGACAGAGCAGGGATTTGAATGCCAAAGGCCATGCTCTTTCAGTTCCTCTCAGAAGACTGGGAGTAGTAGTAGGAATGAAAACATCAGGAGCAGTCTGGCCCTGCTGCAGACTCTGAGGTAATAGCAGCGTTTCTATTTTGATGTTCCCGTTAAAATCTTATCCTCTAGCTGAGAGGCCTGGCAGGTGGCAAATGTCACCCTTGAGCAGGCACCTAAGTCAAGTGATAAACAGTCATTCAGGGTTTGGGATGCTTTCCCTGCTTAGGGAAGAAGGGTGGCTCTGTCTAGTTCAATTCCATCCTTTGACTTGGTTGCTTCTTGGAGCTAATGGGAAAATGTACTTTCTTTAGCTGGTAATAAAAGCTTCTTAAGCACTGCGGGTAGCTGTTTTGGAGAAACACTGAATTTAAAAACATGCACCTAATTATTTAGCAGTTGTAGAAATATCTGAGAAGAAAATGTTCAGTTATCAGGTAAAGCTGCTTTGGCGACATGATTTCTTTAATGCTGGGCAGTAGTGGAGGCTGTTTAATACAGACAAGGCACAGATATTATTTTGTCTCTGTATGTTGCTTCAGAATATTCTGTTCCCTGCACATTTTAAACGAGATAAACATCCTTCGTGCATCACAACAATGCAAATTCACGATACGAACTCTTTGCAAATACATTTTTTTTTAGGACCATTCCTTAAACAAAGGAACTTGCTACGAGGTATTAGATGTTTTACTATTTCCAGAACATGTACACCCACAGCTCTCCTTTAGTTTTATAGCAGGAGAGCACTGAATGGGACTTACTTTGAGGCCCAAGTTTACCTTTAATGGCTCTGTGACCTTAATTAAGTCCCTTATCCTCTCTGAGCCTATTTCCTCCTCTATGCAATGGAGGTGTTAATGCTTTCCTTCTAGGATTGCTGTGAGAATGAAATGACTTAATGGAAGTGCAAGTGCTTTGTCAATGGCACAAGGCCATTTAAAAATAAATCATTCCTGTTATTTATATTTGGGGGTTAAAATCATTTGGTGCTAATAAAGGAGCACTTATGGTTAATGACATCCTGAAGATCTAAAACAAAGTTGTAGTGAAGTCACGGGGATGAAAGCACAGCATAGGGAATCCATTCAATAATATTGCAGTGACATTGTACGGTGACAGGTGGTGACTGTACATGTTGTGGTGAGCATTGTGTAATGTATAGAACTGTCAAATCACTATTTTGTATACCTGAAACTAATGTAACATTATACGTCAACAGTACTTCAATTAAAACAGGAAAAAAAAAACTCATCAGAAGATGCCAGAATTGTGTAATGTGAGAGCAACATGAAAGAAGATCTGGAGAGTGCTAGGAGCTCTTTGGAGAAAGGAGAACCAAGGGTCAGAACATGTTTTAAAGACTTCCTGTAAGAGATAATAGGTTTTTGGACCATAGTGTGTGGTCTAAAATGCTGTGTGGCATCACTTTATAGGTAGCATAGGGTAGTCATGAGTTTCTGATCCACCACTTTGTAATTATGTGAATTCTTTACCCCTTATGTGCCAAAAGTGAAGATAATGACAATGCATCACAGGGTTATGAAGGTTAGATGGGATGATAATCTGTAAAGTACCTGGCAGGTAATATGGCTGGTAAATATGGTTTGTCTTCTTCTTCCTGCTCCTCTTCCTCCTCCTTTTTTTTTTTTTTTTTTTGGTCAGATAGGAACTCTTAACTAGGGAAGCCATGGTCGGTACCACTAGAAACTTATGTGCTTCTCAGAGCATTCAGGCAAGGTCTGAAAGCAATCAGTAGAACCCTAGTAAATTCTCTGGGATTACTTACAGTGCTGCCCAAACTTGTTAATGGCGTCTGAGTCTGTTAGCCACTTCAGTTATCATCAAGTGCAGAAAAAGTTGTAGGTATTCAGTATGGGCAAAGACTCTTAAATAAGAGGGGGCTCTGAAGAGAAGCAGGGATATGTCTGCAGAGCGCAGGGTATGCAGGGATTAAATTCAGAACTCCTTCAGAGATAAGGGTTCTGTGCTAAGGATGAGAAAGTAATCATCAGCTAAGCCAGACTTTGGTAAGAAGCTCTTGCTAAGGGACGCCTGACAAAGGATCAAGTTTTCCCAACTGTAGAGTTGATTTATTGAGTTATTTTTAAGGAATTGTTATCTACCATTCAGAAACACTTCACATCTTTGAGCAAACAACCGAGGGGTTTATAAATATAAACACTTCAATGATTACAATATAACTTTTAAAGAATTGTTAATTTAAAAAAAATCTGAATAAGGATGAGTAGTCAGTGATTTTAGCTATTAAATGTACAAACGTGTGAAATTAGGCAAGTAATGTGAGAAGCAGTTAAAAAAAGGAAGCTTTTTTCCATGCTGTCAATTTGAAGGCCTAATGCAATCTGTCTGTATAGTGTGGTGAGGATGGGCAAAATGTAGTTGTACAGCTAGTGTATATTTTTACCTTTCAGGTCTTTCCTATAGTTCTCACTAAAGAGGACAAATTCACAGTGAGTGAGATTTTGAAAGCTACCTATATTTTTTAAAAAAAAGTTTTTTTTTTTAACGTTTATTTATTTTTGAGACAGAGAGAGACAGAGCATGAACGGGGGAGGGGCAGAGAGAGAGGGAGACACAGAATCCGAAGCAGCCTCCAGGCTCTGAGCCGTCAGCCCAGAGCCTGACGCGGGGCTCGAACTCACGGACCGCGAGATCGTGACCTGAGCTGAAGTCGGACGCTTAACCGACTGAGCCACCCAGGCGCCCAAAGCTACCTATATTTATTTCAAAGATCCATAGGCTTTAAATTATTGTCATTATTATACCACAAGAAATTCCATCTTTTTTCTGTGTGTAGGTTAGAAAATGATTCTGACATTTCCCACATCTCTTTCTTTCATGCTATCTATATTTTGTGATAATACTAATAACCCCATCTTCCATTCGAGCTTTTCAATATATATATTTTTTTCATGTTCATCACTTTTTAAGCCAAGGCAATTTAAAAGCTTTACTTGTTATATCACAAGTTGCTGACTTGGTACTGATTGTGGGTGATGGGCAGGGAAGGACATTGAGAAGTGAAGTCAACATCTGGGACCAAATAATTGGGAAGGTAGAAGAGAGAAAATGCTAGTGAAGTATTCCTACAGTGTCTTCTCTTCCAAAACATGGTTGTGACTGGGGAGAGCCCGGGAGAAGGGTGATGGACACACAGTGTAAACACATCCAGAGAACTGTCACCTGTTCTAAGGTGAGAGTAGGGGTTGGGGCTGTGAATAAGGACTGTTTTTTGACTACCCCTTATGTGCCAGTTGGTGCTAGTAGTTTAGCACATATATTTTTAATTTGCTCAACAAGTGTAAAAGATAGATATTGTTACTACCATTTTGTAGATGAGGAAATAGGCTTGGAGAGCTTTGGGTAAGTCACCAATATGTATTTAAAAAATAAATCATGTGTTGCTATGTGTAGGTGGCATTTACAGTGAAATTTCTGTCATCTTCTGGTGTTGCCTTAGTCTTTATTAAAAATCCAAATGAAGATGTGATTATGCCCTTGAAAATAAGAATGGATCTTATACATGCAACATGGGCAAAGTCAAAATAAAGGGAGTTATGGAGTAGGTCAGTGAGGGCTGTACCTGAGGATGCTTTGCTCTAGAACCTGGATCTGGTGCTGGTCTTGTTGATTCTGCTTCTTCATCTCTTCCTGTTCTTTTCCGCTGCTGACTCCATCTAGAAGCCATTTCTCCCTTAAGGCCTTTTTCTGATATCAGGAAACATAAAGATGTTCTTAATCAATAATTTCCTAAATCTCTAACTACTTTGAAATCTTATGAATATTAATAGTGAACATAGTAAAGAGAAATGTTTTTTGTTCTCACTGCGTTACCTGAATAAATCTGTTTTCCTTCATTGCACCCTTTGTAACCCCCTTCCAAAGCCAGTTTTATGTATCTAAATCCTGTTTATCCTACACGTTCTAGAGTAGGTTCTTCCTTCTCTGTGAAAATCTCTGTCCTTCCCCCATCCTCACCCTCAGAGAGCTCTCTTTCTTCAGAATCATGCAGCACTCTGCTTACCTACACTGCATGTCTAGCAGTTGTACAGAGATCTTATCACGTGATGTCTAACTATTACTTATTTGATTAATGGGTGTACATCTTGTGTCTTTGAAGTAAAAGGCTCCTTCCCTGAAGCCATTTTTTTATTCATCCCAATGACAGTGTACAGAAAATGCTCCAAAATTTTTTTTTGTGGGATTAATTGAAATGAGGGGCAAAACAAGAGATTGCTATTGTGTCTTAAACTAATTCGATGTTAGTCTTAAGTGGTGTGGTTAGCACTTATTGCTTTGCCCACCCAGTACCTCTTCTGTCTTCTGAGAACCTCCCCGGTTCCAGATACCTAAGTTTAGTACAAAACTACTTGTTCCAATAATACGATGCCCAAAATTCACTGATCTAACTTGAATTTTTGTCAACTTTAACAAAATGATAAATATTTATGTTTTATCATATGGGAAAAAACCCTTTGAATTTGCATGAAAGAATTATAATCCTGGATCCTGAGCCTGAGAAAAAGCAAATGAGAGATGTGTAAATTTTGGAGAGGACTTAGCTAGCACCCCATCCATGTCTTAATAGGAAGTGTTAGGTATTAATTCCAAAGAGTTTGAGTTTCTCCTTTTCTTCCTGAAGAAAACTGTTCTCCCTATATATCTAATCTACCTGTGTAAACTATTTGTTTAATAATTACTTATTGGGGATTTGTGCCTAAAATGGTGAGAAGAATGGGAACTCTGTATTGTCTGAGACTTCTTTCTCTTACATCACAATTAAAATGAGAGCAAGTAAAAAGAACTTTTGCCTTTTTTAAAAGGATGCTAGAACTAATACTACTGGAATCTAAATATCTTTGAATTTTAAACAAAATTTAAATAAGGTTGATTGTGCTAGGTAAGTATCACATGATGGTTATTTTAAGTAAGGCAATGGTCTCCAAACCAATAAGAAATGTTATACTGCTTACAAATACATATTGTATGGAATTATACTTTATAGAGCTGATAAAACCTGGCCTGCTCTAGTTGAAGCAGGGAGGGGGCCCAGAAGCCTGTGGATGCCCAGAACACACAGTTTGAAAACTGCTAGATTGAGTAACAGCCTTATCCCAGATGATCATGTTCATTTTGTCCTTTTCAGAGTTTCAAGTGATTGCATGTGGACAACACCCCCCATAAGAGTAGTTTGTATTATTCCAGTTTGTAGCCAGAGATTCTTTGCCCCAGTGTTACCTTAACCCCTAATTATGGCTGTTGAGCTGTTTGCGGAAATGTTCTCCCACAGACACAGTTAAAATGTTCTTAATAAAGGTCAAGATCTATCTCTTGAGGTCAAAGATGCCAAGAAAATCTTAGTACACTCATTTGAGGAATTTGCTTTGATTTTAATTTATTTTTATTTGATGGAATGTGATGATAATTAATGCATAGTAAAGAAGACAGATGACACCTATCAAAAGTAAATTACAGTTCTTACAAACCACCTACCAGGACAGTTTCAGTCATTTACATCCGTATCAGTACAAGAAGCACTCAGATGGGATGGTCTTATGATGCTGAGTTACAGAGAACAGAGAATAATTCATGTGATGTGATTATGTGAACTTGGGGCTACATTCTTGGTTCTTAGTCTGGTTAGGAACAAGAATAATTTAAATTTTATCTTTGTAAAACTTTGATCATAATTCACAAATTGTCATTTACCTCTGGCAAAGAACCCTTTGCCTCTGAATATAAAAATACATAATTTGGATGTGCAATTAAAATGATATGGTACAATTACGTATTGTGACAACCTAAAGATAGTTATTTTGCTTTTATGTCACAGTTTAGACTTGTGCTTTCATCTATGAGGTCGATGTAAAATCTGTTTCACAACAATGACATTCAGAATCAAAAGCCGTATTAACTGTATGAAAATATAAGTGACGTGTGGGTAATGGATATTTGGGCAGTTAATTTTTTTTTAGGGAAAGGTTTTCCTGAAGCACGTTCCATTCCATACAGCAGTTAAAGTAGACTTTAGGAATAAATTAGTTCTTTATGCCATGGATCAAATGGACTTCCAGAGAAGAAAAGTTTTCTAAGTTGAGTGTATTTTGTGTGTCTTGGTGACAGATTGTGATCATGTTACTAGGCAAGGAGACCCATAGTGTACAAATCTCAGAAATGTTTGAAAGTCAGAATGCTACTAATATCCCCAGAAACTCCCTTTCTAGCATGTCACTGGTATGATTGCCAGGTTCCAGAGCGAAAGAATATCAGAGTGAGTTCCTACAATTATCTGGAAATGTATGTACTAATGACACAGAAGGAGCACTTTGTAAATGTTTATGTTTGTGAAGTGTAATGAAATAGTTTGCAATCAGGAAAGTGCTGAGAACAGGTGGATGAAGAAGAAAATTAAAGGAGACTGGCAACTGTAGAGGCCAATAGAGCTTTCTTGACTTGGTGAACATATTTTAGAATCGATTTTAAAAATATTTCTGCACATTTCTGAACCCCATTTTGGAATGGTGCCTAGTTGCTGTTTGGTGTGGCCAACCATTTTCTGCAAAACTTAGACGAATGTGACTCTATTCAAACTGCCAGTCTTTCCTCTGAGTTCCTTTTGCAGTTTTAGTCTTGCACACAGCGCTCATCACATAATGTATGTCTTTATAAGTTTCTGTGTCAGTTACCATTTTAAGGATACAGGTCAAACTTTATTTTGTATTCTTAGTGCCCTGCTTAGTACTTTACACATAATAGGTCCTTAATAAATGTTTATTGACTAAAAGGTCCTATATACACCTATATAAATCTTACTTATCAGTTAAGACTCAGCTTAAATCCCACACCTTTAATAGACCTCCTTTGACCACCCCAGATTACTGCTTATACTATTGTTTAAATTTAAGAAATTATCTTTTAATTCCTAGTTATTTAATGTCCTAGTTATTTATTTAATATTGGGGTTCCCACTAGGTTGCAGGCAGAAGGGCTACAGCCCTCCAGGGCCACTGCTAGTCTCTATGGCATTAATAAAAAAATCAGGAAAAATTGCTGTTTCTCATCCCCACCCCTTTGGGTCAGTGCACAGCCTGGGAAGGTGGATAGCACCTTTGTGCAGAGAAAAAGAAACGCCATCCTTCAGACAGAAGCAGACTGATGCCAGAGTGCACAGTTCCAAGGGAGCATGGGCAGGGTTTCAGCACTCCTTTCTCAGGTACCTTTGTGCAGTACACAATCTGCACAACTGTGTACAGCAATCCAAAGCATGATAATATGTTGATTGGATTGGATTAGAAGAGGTATCCTGGGTTCCAGAAAGCAAACCTATATGGAAGATCATGTATTATTTTTTTGGACTGGTTTTGGCAATACTGAAAAGAAGTGCCACTTCAGAAACAGAACTTTCAGTGAGTCAGAGTTTCCATTTCTTTCCTTTCCTTTCCTTTCCTTTCCTTTCCTTTCCTTTCCTTTCCT